GTGGCAACACTTTTCGCACTTCGCGGAATCCCATGCTTCACACAACCATGACGTGCGCGATCAGTTATGGTGGGCCACAGGATTGTCACAGACAGTCTGAAGACGAAGGTGGAGCCCGTTGGCGACATCGCGCGGGACAAGCATTAGGCCATTGTGATAGGAACCCTTCAAGTTGAGCGCCCTGAACAACTCTTCGAGCCTTGTGAAGAACAACGAAATCATCGGCGTATCTTACTAGGATAACTCGGCCTTCGACCKCCTGTTGCTGAGCCCACTCATTCAAAGCATTCTCCATTCCGTGCAAAGCAATGTTGGCCAGTAAAGGCGACGTCGACATACGTTCCAATGCCCGCCTATTAAGCCATGCCTGCCAGTACTCCTCTGCACACACGTTTCGCTCCAGTGTGCACTCCAGCCGCCCGGACTCCTCTTGGGCGAATGCGTATCAACGAAGGTTTCAAATTTCAAAACTCGAACTGCGATATTTGCACCAATTTTTTTTTCTCAGCCCGATATCCTGCGGTGGACCTCCCTGTCGCCGCCATTGGACCATGCTGACGACGTAGGACATCCTAACACGACGACAGACATCCACGAGCGCGGCTGCGTGTATGCGTATGAAATTGGTCACCAGAGGCCTCCAAGGGTCTTCCTTGGGACTCGTCGAATTAGGACGGGGTGTAACGACGACATTGAAAACAGAAAAGTTTTCCAAGGACTTCATCTAAATCCCTAAGGATTCTCGAAGGAGGGTCTAACGAGGCCCTAATGGTTATGCAGCCCTAGTACTGCCGTTCACAGTTGTGCTATACTATGTATAGTCTTTGTCACAGATTAAACCGCCAGTACTTGACCCAACTATTGGCCGTGGACAAAAAAAAAAAGAAAAGAGTAGAAACGTTTATATTCTATTGAATTTGGGTGCTCCTGTAGTGGCCCGTACGTTTCCTAAAATCATTGGACCAGGCCCGCCTGCACCTGCCTGTCGCCGCCCCCCCTAAGAACCCGGTCCGTAAGGCCAGGAAAGTCGAATTTAGGCCGGCGGGGGTAGTGGTGCTTTAACGGGCACAACTTTGGGAAGCACTGGTTGTTCAAGAGCACAGCTTTAGGAAGTACTGGTGGTTTAAGAGCATTTCTGACCGACTGCATAGCTATCTGTTGTGCAGTCAACTACGGTTTTAAGGGCCAGGAAGAAGAGCGACAATATTACGAAGAAGATGACGTGGGCATTAAAATCGTGATGCTATTGACTTCCTCGTTACCTCACCTCAACTTATAATGCCAAGGACTCGACAACCCTTCCACTCGTACGCCAGTCAGATTGATGTGTAGCGGATTTAGCCGCGTTAGCATTGACAAATCCTATTTTTAGCTATTACAAATTACATTGTCTATTAGGGCATACTCACACTCTAGGCACTAAAAACCACAAATTGAGCAGCCCGATTCGAGTCCTTGAAAAGGAACGCCTGCAGCTGGCAGCTCATTTTGCAATTTTAAGATTTTGAGGGCCTGGTGTGGGTATACTCTTACTCGGTTTTCACTGGCAGGAATGCCTCCATTATCAGGACTTTGCAGCAAATTTTCTCTCCTTTCTGCTGCTCTAGGTTGCGAAGCTTAATTATTGGCCCTTTCTTTTCTTTTCTTTTTTTAATAAATAAAGTCCAGGGTGTTGTAGACACCAGATTTAGAACTATGAAGCTTGTTTATTAAATTATTAGCCTTTTTTTTTTTTTATATGAAGTCCATGCTGAAAGATTAGAAAACTACTGCCAATAAATACTAATTATTTTTCCATTTCCTTCCATTTACTCGTAGCCTTACTACCTTCTCAGTCACCAGAGTGGCAGCATAGCCCTACCTGCTGCTAATTTTCAATCTAAGTTTAGCCTACATTGAACAAAGGGGGGGGGGGGGGGTTCCCATTTACCCAGAGCATGTGGGGATGATCCCCCTTGAGATGCATTAAAAAAACCTCGGCTTGTGATACTCAGATCACTGGCATTCAGCGGCGGCTCGCTAGCCGTTCCCCAGTAGCCAAGCGGCACCAGGCGGCACCTTTCAGCACTAACGTCTCTCCAGAACTCAGCTCCAATCTATGAGCATTACTGCACTACACCACTCTACATGCATTTGGACGCTTTCTTCACTATGTGCACTCCGACGAGACCGGCATTTTGAATGTATCCGGTCAACAAAAGAAAAGAAAAGAAAAGGAAAAAGAAAAAGGGAACAAACACGGGTGGATGCATCAGAGTCTACGTGTGTTCGTCAAAATCCGTCGGAGCGTACCGTGGACACCACTGCACGTTTTGCCTTCTTTGGGCCCTTCTTTGGGACAAAAGACCCATTCTGTTCGAGGGTCCTTGAATTCAGCGGGTCCTGGATCCACAGAATGTTTCCACGTATTTTTTTTTTTTTTTTTTTTTTTTTTTTCCCCTTAAACTTTATCATGAACATTATAAACTTAAACCGAGGCCGGGGACCTCACAATTCAMCCCGGGGTACTGACAGCATCAGCCAGTTTACAGGCACCCGCCTGCAGACCCCGACGTTGCCGAGTTCCAATTCCTACTTCGTGTCGATCCTACCCAAAACAACGAAATTAGGCTTCCTTTCGTACGCTTGTGGAATGTCAATTCAGACTGTCTACGTGCCCAGAAGGGAATCTGTAGCCTTAACTCTCTGTGTTCCTGTGCGCGAATACCTGTTTGCCTTTTGAACACTAGACTAATTCAGTCTAATCTATAATCTATATCTGTCCTTTCAAATTAGCAGGTAGGAACCCCAACAGCACCCATCTCTTATCCCAACTCACAGTCTGATCCCCCAACTTCTCCCAGTGGTACGACCACCATTTCCATACCCGTTTGGACGCTGGACACTCCCACCATAACTGTCTGGTGGATTCGAATGGCCACCTGCATCTCGAGCATCCCAGATCGCTTAATTCAAATTTCGTCACTTTCTAGTACCCATTGGCGCCGCCTTTCGGGGTTTCCTTAGGGACCGATTCACTCTGCACCTCCATACCCCTGCTCCTCAGCCACACTGCTGACGGAGTGACGAGCAGGGACAGTAACCATAGTATGCTTTTTTTTTTTTTTTTTTTTTTTTTTTTAAATGGCCCCATTCTTACCTGTTTTCCGTTGGGCATTATTGTTTGAGAGTTTCCACATTTTTAAACCACCAGTACTTGGCCCAGCTATCGGCCACGGGAAAAGAAAATTGCTAGAAGCATTTCTAGTCCGACGAATCCGAGCGCTCCTATAGTGGCCCGTATGTTTTCTAAAATTGTGGCTTGTTTTTTTTTTTTTTTTTTTGAACACGCCCCAAATTGATGGGCACGACTTTAGGAAGTACTGGTGGTTTTAATTTACCGTTCATCATCACTCTTGGTGACGAGGCCGACACAATCGGTCTGGTCTCCTGGAGTCGAGATCCGTTCTGTCGAGTACAAGCTCCTTCGGATTCCACTCCACGATGCGTTCCAGTTTCGTTTCACATTTGCACTTACGCCCAGTCATTATCGCCGCATCTAGACTGGAAGTTGCACCAAATGCAGCTATAATGCCCCGGCCTTCTATTCAGGTGAAGACGGTAGCATCGGGTTCATCCGGGTCAAAGAACACCCGAAGGAGCAGATCATCGATGACACTTCTCCCCGACAGGACTCTTGCATCACTCCCAAGGGTAGTGATGCACGTAGAGTACATGGCAACAACTACTACATGCAGGCACATCACACAAGCCAGGGGAGGCTTAAGGCTCAAGTGAGACATACATGACATCCCATGCAGACTCCACTCCGCAGTCATGAGCATAGTACGACACAATGAGACAATACCGTGCACGACAATACAGTACACAATCGGCTTCATCAATGCTTAACCGCAACCTCAAGACACCACCGCTCACTCCGACAAACCCTTTGCAGTCTATCATCAGCTCGCGCTGCCGTAGACACCGTACCGAAAGAGGATCTACTGTACTACAATCTACTTTCTTATACTCGTGCATCAACAGCTTCCAGTCCCATTGTTCCCCCCTACAAGCCAGGGGAGGGCTAGCCCTACCACCCATGGGGATGCCCTTCATTTCGCGACGGACAGTATCCATGACGAGGAAGATCTACTTACCAAGCTGGAAATTTGTTATAGCCTGATTAGGTCCTTGAAACAAGCAAACAGACCGCCAACCAGCCTCACCATGGTAGGTGGATGGTGGACACTAAACAATAAATATAGGGGGTTAGATTCAACTGAGTCGAACTGACACTTGAAAAATCAGATTTTTTTTTCTTTTCTTTTCTTTTCATTTCTTTTCTTTTACTCACATTCTCTTCGAATATAACGCCCGGCCATTATATTCGAACAGAAACCCCAGGCGTTATATTTGAATGTGGCACAGACCGGGGGGGGGGGGAGGTCGGAAGGGGGGTTTCGAATACAACTCCCAGGCATTATAGTCGACTAGAGCCTCCAGGCGTTATATTTGGATGTGGCATCGGCAGAATGCCTGGTAATTGTATGTGTGTGTGTGTGCGTGTGTGTGGTGGTGGTGGTGGTTTTGGGGGGGGGGGRGAGRGGRGGAGGGAAGGGGGGTATACATGGGGGTTTAAAGGGGGTTGAATATAGCCTTGACCTGGCTAGTCAGCCATTCTTCAGCAATGGTTCTTGGCTTCAGGCAGATGTTAGTCAGCAGCTTGGACAGACAAATTGAGACACAAACCAAACGACATCACAACGACAAATAGCCTGAAATAGGCAATGTGAACGACCCTTATTCTCTTGGTGCCAGCCAAAACCACAAGCCTGTGGCCAATGCTGGCAAAAGAAGAAAATATTAAATGATAGAATATAGTTGGGGGACGGAAAAAAAAGAAAAGAAAAAAATTTGGTTCAGCTTGCTGCTGGCTGAGCGCCTTGGGATCCAGAGGAACCACACACCTGTGTACTGTACGGTTCTTTCTTGACCGGCTGGTTTGCATCACTGATGGTCGGATGGGATAGCAGAGCGTCGCCACCCATAGGATGGAAAATAGCGTCGAGTCGCCTGGCCACCGTACTCGACCGTACCTCGGCAACAGTTCTTTTTCTTTTTGAAAAGAAATTTGAAAAGAAAAAGGGCGAGAGCCTTGAGATGTTGTCATCAAACTGACTGCCCCTGAGTAATATTTCACTCATCTGCTTCCAGTCTAGGGGTGTACCAACTGAGCCAGGCCAGTTCGTGCAGCAAAAGTTCTTCGCTTCAGGCAGATGTTAGACAGTTGCGACACCAACCAAACGACATTCGACGACAAATAGACAGGGCAGTGTGAACAACCATTATTCTCTTGGTGCCAGCCAAATCCACCAGCCAGTGGTGGCCAATGCCGTCAAAAGGAGAAAAGGTTAAATGGTATGGTATAAATTAGGAGAAAAGAGGTGTGTTATTGGCTTCAGGCAGATGTTAGACAGTTGCGACACCAACCAAGCGACATTCGACGACAAATAGGCAGTGTGAACGACCATAATTCTCTTGGTGCCAGCCAAATCCACCAGCCTGTGGCCAATGCCGGCATAAGGAGAAAAGGTTAAATGGTATATAATATAAAGTAGGAGAAAACAGGTGTTATTGGCTTCAGGCAGATGTTAGAGAGTCGTGACACCAACCAAACGACATCCAGTGACAAATAGGCAGAGTGAGAACGACCATTAATGATTATTCTCCTTGGTGCCAGCCAAATCCACCAGCCTGTGGCCAACGCCGGCAGATCAAGAAAATATCAAACGATATAATATGAAGTAGGAGAAAACAGGTGTGTCCTTCTTCTAGCTGCTGCCGGCTGAGCTCCCCGGGGCTGCAGCAGCAGCCTTAGGTCTCAGAATTGCCATCGCGTGCTGCCCTATATCCTTCGGCACCACCTCCACAATGCCCACATCCTCCAGCATTCCTAAGGCCTGTTCTAACGTCCCTGTTCCCACACCTCTGCCACGGTCCCCCGACCGAAAAATGAGAAGCAACTTCACACGGTGGCCTTGGAGAAGATGTGCTGCAGCTTGTTTCACTTTGAGTTCCAAGTCCCTCTGTTCCGTACGCGAACCGATCTGGACATTCTTCACAACATCGACCCGCCGTTTCTCCAGCTGCCGCTTCCGCGCATCCTTCTCTTTCTTCTTCAGTTCATATCGGTACTTGGTGTAATCTAGGATCTTGCAGACAGGTGGGTCCGACGACGGGTTGATCTCCACCAAATCCAACCCTGCTTGCCGGGATTTCATCAAAGCGGCGGCCCTCGTAACTACCTCGTGGCAAACATTCCCATCCTTGTCAGTCCCGACGAGCCGAACAAGAGGTGCTTTTATCTCAAAATTAATCCTCGGGCCTTCCTTCGCCTTATCATTGTCGGAAGCTTGTTGCTGTTTTTCAGAAGCAGTCGACGTAGGCCCCCTCTCAGCCGATCGTGAAGGGAGTTTGGAAGGCGCCGCCAGCCCTCGGAGCCAAGTAGATGGCAACGCCAAGCCTTTTGGAAATGCGCAATGAGTAGAAGAGGCAACAAAGGGGGTAAGAATATTTTGCACAGAGGCCAGCCCTCCGAAGAAAGTAGATGACGGCGCCATTCCTTTTGGAAATGAACAATGAGAAGAAGAAGAGGCAACAAAGGGGGCAAGAAAGTTTTGCGCACAAGAGCCCAACATACCCCTGGCAATGGTACAACGCTCAAAGATACCCCTCGACCCATTGTCGAACCCCGTTGAGCCAAATTGCGAAAGTGGTGGTGAGATGTTCTCGGTAAAAGCGTGAGGGAATTTCAAACGCAGTCGCAAAGAGGTGAAGCTGGCGACTGAAGACCCGCATGAGCTGCTGCTCCATTGCACACGAGGATGCGACCATCTACGTTGGCCTTCCGGCAACATGCCCTCGTTGCCCCAACCGGTCTTGGGTCCTTGCTGTGCCTCCCTCGGATGAGACACCGCTCCAATGGACGGCAAACCGCTGGGCTTCGCATCGCTACCATGTAGCGGCAGTCGCAATAAACTTTCCACGGCGTTTTCTCGATGTGTGCCACCCTCTGCCACAGGAGACAGATTTATAGTTGCTGTCAGTTGCAGAACACTTTTTGGCAGCAGGGCTGCACTGTCCTCCCTTGCGGCATTAGCAGTGTTACAATCTTGACATGTGCCACTTCGCGGCAGATGCTCGCCCCACCCGCTGTAGACTCCTCCGCGTTCCGGTCCTCTATCCTGCGCACTATCGATGACACAATACCTCCGAGCACTTAGCCCCCAAGCTCTCCTCCATGGTTCTAAGCAAATGCGACCTGTTGAAGCCGCAGACCCACTGTTCCTCCGAGCACTTGGCCCCCAAGCTCTCCTCCACCATGGTTCTAAGCAAATGCGACCCATAACAGGCAGGGACCGTGGTATCTCCCCGTGTCAGTCGACTCCTCTCAGCTGTTTGTCGATGCCATGCCACCGAAAGATCCGCAAACACCAACAGGCCTAGCTCAGTTGGTACACCCATGAACTGTTGAAATACAGACCCAAGTTCGAATCCAGATGCAGTCAGATTAACAAAATAGAAAAAGATCCACAAAAAAAAACATCTACTAACCCGCCAACCTACAGGACAAAAGCACATGCACATGGAGCTCTCACTGTTTATACATCCCCAGCAAATCTAAAGAGGAACAAACGGTCCTCCGGCACATCCGTTAAACCACCAGTACTTGGGCCCACACATCGGTCGCGGGCCCCTCACTGCAAATTTCGGAGGCCTGAAACATGACAGCGACCACCGATGAAATTTATCAACGGCGGCCCGACCCCGAAAGTTGCGGCCGTCAACGAGCCGCTTCTCCGAAAAATAGCTGGGAAAGGTACTGATGGTTCAAAAATTGGAACGATACACAGAAGATTACCTTGGCCCCCGCGCAAGGATGACATGCATAAATTGAGAAACGGTCCAAAATTTAAAAATAAATAAATAAACAAAGAGGAACAAACGCACATGCACATATAGTATCCACTATTGGTCCCTGATGATACTGGCTGTCCCCTAGCCGGTATCGCCCACCTGCAGGTAGGGAGCAGCCCCCACATGTTCTCTCGTGAACACGGTTCTGGCTGCCACGGGGTTCCCCGTATGCCTACAATGTGGTAGGCAGGTAGTGTGAGGTGAAATTAAGAGAAGAATACAGCTTTAAAAAAAAAAGAAGTGGCAACCGTAACGGTCATGATATTCACCCCACCAGTGCGAGCACGAATTCGAACCAAAAGTGGCAACCGTAACGGTCATGATATTCACCCCACCCTGTCTCTTATACACATCTAGATGTGTATAAGAGACAGGGCAGGTAGTGTGAGGTGAAATTAAGAGAAGAATACAGCCTTAACAAAAAAAAAAAAAAAAAAAAAAAAAAGAAAAAAAAAAAAAAAAAAAAATTTAAAAAAAAAAAAAAAAAAAAAAAAAAAAAAAAAAAAAAAAGTATCTACTATTTATGTCGGTGTGTCCAAGGGTCAGACCTCACCGGCAATTGATTTTCAGTGAGCCGAGTTACCACAAATCCGGCCATAGTTAGGTCATCCCAATGACCTCCTTTTTCTTCTTCCCTTTCTTAACACCCACCAAGTTGGCTACGACTGGTGGGTAACAAGAGCACTCACTGCTAACAGCTTGGTTCATTGCAATAACCAGGTTAGGGCTTGCTTAGCAGATGGCACAAACATACATAGCGCCACTGAGACCTCGGCCTGAGCGTCTGGGACATGGCCCCAAGCATAGAGGAATACTCTTTGTGGGGCAACGCCCAAAGGAGGACAGTTTTGCAAGGAAAATGAGCGAGAGCAACAGACAGAAAACCAAATTGCAATATCACGCTGAGGACCAGATAGTCGTGTACCAAGCAGAAAGCACAATGCACCGAGATACAAGCCAAATAAGAACAAAACAATGACCTCAAATGTCAATGTCAACACTCTCTCGCCACACCGACATAACATCCAATGTCGCCCTCCTTGATTGGCGCTCAGTGCCCACACTCTATCCTACTCAGTATGTACCTAGCCTACCACTACATGTATGCAACAGGATCACTTCAAGCCGAAGACCAATGTACGTGACAACGCCGACAATGTAGACTGCCAGCATACACCAGGTACACTCCTCCCCTCACCCCCGTCGCCCCACACAGAATGCGCCCTCTTCCCGAAGACCCGCCAATAGCCGCTACTGCTGAGCCAGCCCGGGCTACAGCTGCTCAGCGCCCACAGCCCCTGCTGCGCCCTTTCACCGCCATGCGCCCCCGTGCGCCCTCTGGTTGCTCTATGATAGCCCGCTAGCACTGTCTTCCAGCAGCATGGCCGCGCCAAGCAGCAGAGCCAGAATGTGTTCTGGCGTGGGCGCTCACTTTCCTATATGGAAAGTGAGCCTACCTCTGGCGGCCCTGGGCCTGGACTGCATGTGCCCAGTCACGTTGGGCCAAAGTGTCTGCCCTCCGGCCCTCTCAGACAGTTGCCTGGGCCCGCAGCAGTTGAGCTGCCCAACTGTGGGACGCGACTGCTGCCTCACACTGCATTCTCATGGCCTACGGGCCACCAGCCACGTCGCTTGCTAACTTCTCATTGGCCGAGAGACTTCGGCCATGTCACTGCTGGAAAGAGCCCTGAGGCTCCGTATGTCATGCTCACACAGGTGTGGCCCTGTAACCAACTGCCGCCTGGAAACTGTCTAGCACCCCCACAGAGCAGAAATGACAAAAATTGGACCTCATTGCAAAATGCAGGCCCACCTTTACTTAGGGCGGGCACGAGGCATGCTGGGGGGCCCTCAGTCTGTCGTGTTCCCGGGCCAAAAGGGCCTCTGTGAGGGATCATTCCTCGTACAATTTACTCCTGAGGGAAAAGGTTTGGAGGAGAGGGGGGAGTAATTGAACAAAGGCTGACGGGGATGTGCTTAGAGAGAGAAGGCATAAATCATGGGAAGGGGGATTCCTCGCTCACTCTTCCCGGGGGAGTAATTGAACGAAGGCTGACGGGGTGGTGCTTAGAGAGAGAGGGCATAAATCATGGGAAGGGGGATTCCTCGCTCACTCTTCCCGTTCTCTTGCCATACTCCTCTCTCTCTTTCTCTCTCTCTCTCTCTCTCTCTCTCTCTCTCTCTCTCTCTCTCTCTCTCTCTCTCTCTCTCTCTCTCTCTCTCTCTCTCT